AAAAAAAAAAAAAAAAAAAAAAAAAAAAAAAAAAAAAAAAAAGAATGAAGGAAGGAAGAAAAAGAAAGGAAGTAAAGAAAACAATAAGAGCTGGGAGGCAGGGGACACACACACACACACACACACACACACACACAATTAGAAATAATAAAAGTGAATTTTAAGGAAAGGTTTCTGCTTATAGATTGCTCTCCTACCCAGATCTTTCCTTGCCCCACCCTCTAGTCTATATCTGGAGTAGGTTATTTTGCTTTCTTAAGACAAGGCTTAGAAAAATATACTTTTAGCTCTGGTGCCAGGGGCATTTTTCAAGTGTTACCCAGCTTTGCTGTTGCTGGTGGCCCAGGCTGGAGAGGCCTCAGAGACAGAGTTGACACAGAGCCCTCAACCTAGTGTTTCTAGGCTCTTGTTTGAGTTTCTTGTAGGAATGAAGATATTCAAAACAGACACAAAGGACCTCAAGAAATTGGATCTACCCAGGAATCTCCTGCTTGGAGAGAGAAGGAAAAACCTGAAGCCTGGTGCCAGGGAGTGAGGAACTTGTCTTTCAGAAAGAGATTCACATGGTTCTGAAAACTTGTTCGACTACCTTGAAGGGGAAACTGGAGCTGACAGTGATGGTGGACAGGGCCACACTTTGGCCAGAAGTAGCATTAGGAATAGCCCTTGCCCTCTGCTTAAACCTAAGCCTCACGCCAAGACCCCCCAAAAGGCCCTCAGGAAGGAGTGTTATAGTTTCATTTCTATTGCTGTAATAAAATACCTTAGCAAAAAGCAACTTGGTGGTGGTGGTGGTGGTGGTGGTGGTGGTGGTGTGTGTGGTGGGGGACAGGAGAGACAATGGCGCACGCCTTTAATCCCAGCACTCGGGAGGCAGAGGCAGGCAGATCTCTGTGAGTTCCAGGCCAGCCTGGTTTCCAGAGCGAGTGCCAGGATAGGCTCCAAAGCTACACAGAGAAACCCTGTCTCAAAAAACCAAAAAAAAAAAAAAAAAAAGGGGGGGGTTAATTTATCTCACAGTGAAAAAACTCAGGAGCTCAGCTAGTCACACTACATCAAAAGCATACAGGTCTCTTCTCCTGTTCATTCCAGAGTCCAAAACTCTTTAGTCCTGTACAGTCCAGGACCCCAAACCAAGGGATGGGGCTGCCCACATCAGTTGAGTCCTGCTACATCGATTGACGAATAATCATGTCAGTTCCTCACAGACATATGCCCAACCTGATGAACACAATCGCTCATGGAGACTGTCTGTGGGGGTGATTCTAGGCCTTATCAGTTGACAATACTTAACATCATGGGGGGCAGGGCAGGGAGAGAGTTTGTCACTGGACTTCTGTGTCCCCTTTCCAATGTGACCACGTTGAATAAATCTTTTTCTTTTTTTTTTTCTTTGAGACAGGGTTCCTCTGTATTGCTTTGGAGCCTGTCCTGGAACTCACTCTGTAGACCAGGCTGGCCTTGAATTCAGAGATCTGCCTACCTCTGCCTCCCTAGTGTTAGGGGCTGAGATGAAGTTTTCTAACCCAGAAGAAGCATGCCTTTAACAGGGAACATGAGCTTCTGGAGAGACAGCCTGCTTTATAGGGACTTCTTGTCTGGCTTAGATAAAAGGCAGAGGATACCTAGGCTTATTATTATTATTTTTAGACTTGTTTATTTTATGTGTAGTGTGTTTTACCTTCATGTACATCATATGTCTGATGCCCCTCTCAGGGCTTTGGATCCCTTGGAACTGGAATTATTGACAGCTGTGGACCACCATGTGGATGCTAGGAATTGAACCTGGGCCCAGGTCAATTAACCACTGAGTGGTCTCTCTAGCCCTACATGTTAGTTCTTTTAGTGAAATGATTTGACAGGGACTATTTCATATCAGTGTGCAGGTTAGATCAGACATATTAGCAGGAACCTGTTTTTCTTTCTTCTTTCTTTTTTTAAAGAAGTATCAAGTATCCCCACGCTGGTCTTCAACTTACTATATACATCTTACTTTGTAGTGCTAGCTAGTCTGGAACTTACTATGTAGACCAGGATGGCCCGGAACCCACAGAAGTTTGCCTATCCCTGCCTCCTGAGTGCTGAGACTACCAGTTTGCAACACCACACATGGCTGTATTGAAATTCTTGGCCTGGCAATGTGTCGGCGTGGGAGGATCACAAGTTTAAGCTCAGCGTGGGTTATAAGTCATTGTGCAGTTGCTCCAAGCACTTATTAGCTGGCTAATCCCAAGTATGCATTTCCCAAGGGATGATTCTAGTGAGAACAAATCAGGTGACGTACAGTTTGACAAAGGGCATAAATCTAAACACCATCAGCCTGAAACAAAGAAAGGACAGGTAAGGCCTGGCTTGGAGGAGATTGGAGGAGATGGCCAAAATGCCCAAGACCAAAGGGAAGACTTAGTCCTTCTCTACCCTCTTCTAATGCAGAAAGAGGCTTTGCAAGTGTTGGTTTGTTTTATAGGCACATATTTATTTTATAAAGAATTTTAAAAGTTACAAAATTTTAAATAAATAAGCATTTTAAAATTTTTAAATCGCCAGGCATTAGTGGCACATGCCTTTAATCGCAGCACTCGGGAGGCAGAAGCAGGCAGATCTCCGAGAGTTCAAGGCCAGCCTGGTCTACAAAGTGAGTGCCAGGATAGGCTACACAGAGAAACCCTGTCTTGAAAAACAAAAACAAACAAACAAACAATACAATTTTAAATCTCAGCAATCAGTGGTAGAGTTCTTGTCTAGTGCAGACAAGTTTGAGCTTGATCCTTAGCATAGAAAGGAAAAAAAATCCTGAGCAGGTGTGTGCCCCTGGTATCCCGACATACAGAAGAGTGAATTCAGCTAGGGGATGACGGAGCCCAGGAATTCAGACCCCCTCAACAACATAAGACATCTCAAAACACCGCCACCATCGGAAAATGCAACCAAATCAAATGTCAGATAGGGTTGTTATCGTGGAGACTCCAACTTAATAGCAAGGTTTTTCAATTTAGATTTTTTTTGTGTGGGTGGTGGGGTGGGCTGTTTTGTTTTAAGATAGTGTCTCACACTGTAGCACAATAGCTCAGGCTGGCCCTAGAACTCATTATGTAGCCCAGGCTGGTCTCTGACTTATAGCAATTCTCCTGTCTTAGTTTCCCTGCTGGGATTATAAGCATTTATCACCACACACACCCAACTTTTATTTTATTTTATTTGTTTTTGTTTTGTTGTTCTTAGTGATGATGGTGGTGATGTTTTTTTGTTTGTTTGTTTGTTTGTTTTTAAATCATCTGGGAGTGGAATCAAGTTGAATTTTTACTTTTTTTTTTTTTAATTTAGAAACAATCTTGTTTTACATATCAGTCCCAGTTCCCTTGTTTTTATCTTTGCAGACAGGTTGTCTGCAATCCAGAAGTCCCTCGTCAGCTAGATTAGCTGGAACTGGTTGAATCTAAGATGGCTGCCAGAGTGGCCTGGATACCTTTACCTCAGGCAACCTCATGACAATGTCGTTTGCAGGCCACTTGGCGCATTCTTTATTATCTAAATTCAGATGTACAACCTGCTCTCTCAGTTTTCTGTATTCCTAAAGAAATTAAGAAACAGAATTGGTAGAGGAAAATGGATTTACAGTTTAGACAAACCAGAGAGGAAGAACCTGGTTTGTCTGCACGGGGCCTCTTGCAGCCTATAGCAACCCAGGAAGTCTGAAGGCACGCGTTGGGTGTGATGGTGTGGAGTTTTTTTTTGAGCTTTCCTCAGCTTTTGGTGAATTTACCTGGATAGCTACAGTGCTGAATGATCAACAGTCACTAAAGCCACCCCAGCCAGGGCCTTCCACGTTTGTTGGATCATGCTTGAGAAGATTAAGTGAAGGCAGACAGGAGCGAGCAGAGCAAGCACAGCTTTGTTAATGAAGACATGAGAAAGAACCCCAGGAGTGGGAGGGGTTCCAAGGGAAGATGTGTTGCCCTGTCCAGTGGCCTGCCTGCTCATAGGTCTTACGGAGGGAATGCAGACTAAGGACATCTTTATAGAGTGCTCCTTTTTTGGTCTGTCATGTGATGAGGAATGGGCCCAAATACTCTATGCCATGGTCCCTCATCCCAACCAGAGAAGGGGTCACGTGTGCTACTGGCCATATGTGTAAATGACTAGCTCATGATCTGCCTGCCACCTGCCCCCCAGTAGTGTCTGAGGGGATCTATCTCAGTGAGACAGTATAAGGAGTCTTTTTCCTGGGGTGAGGTGTTGACAGGGCCTCAGGTTGCCTCCCTCTCAGCCTGCAGAGTTCTATGCTGTTAGAAGCCATGCTGTTACAGAGACTTCTGAATATACATTTAAAAAATTAAATTAGGGGCTGGAGAGATGGCTCAGTGGTTAAGAGCACTTGCTGCTCTCCCAGAGGACCTGGGTTGCTCACACCTGTCTGTAACTCCTTTTCCAGGGGATCTGACACCTTCACACCAATACACATAAAATAAAGTTAAATAAACTTTTAAAAAGTTAAAGCTAGCCTATGGTGGAACATGCCTTTAATCCCAGCATTTGAGAAGCAGAAACAGGCAGATCTCTGTGAGTTTGATGCCAGACTAGCCTACAGAGCCAGTTCCAGGACAGCCCAGGTAACACAGAGAAACTCTGTCTTGAAAAACCAATAAATGATTAAATAAATTTATTTATTTAATGTGTATGAGTGTTTGCCTGCATGTGTGTCTATGTGTCATGTGCCTGAGCCCAAAAGGGTTAGAAGAGGGCCTCAGATATCCAGGGACTGTAGTTACAGATGGCGGTGAGTTGCTATGTGGGTGGTGGAATCGAACCCAAGTTCTCCTGAAGAGTAGCCAGTGCTCCTAACTGCTGAGCCATCTTCCAGCCTCCTCTTTTTATACATTTAAAAGCAGATTTATTTTCATTTATCTGTTTATGTGTGTGTCTGTGTGCATGCCACGCTGTGTATGCTGTGCACATGTATGCTGTGTACATGTATGCCGTGTGCATGTTTGCTTTGTGCATGTACGCTGTGTGCATGTATGCTGTGTGCATGCATGCTGTGTGCATGCATGCTGTGTGCATGTATGCTGTGTGCATGTATGCTGTGTGCATGTATGCTTTGTGCATGTATGCTGTGTGCATGTACGCCGTGTGCATGTATGCTGTGTGCATGTATGCCGTGTGCATGTATGCCGTGTGCATGTTTGCTTTGTGCATGTACGCTGTGTGCATGTATGCTGTGTGCATGCATGCTGTGTGCATGTATGCTGTGTGCATGTATGCTGTGTGCATGTATGCTTTGTGCATGTATGCTGTGTGCATGCACGCTGTGTACATGCACGCTGTGTACATGTATACTGTGTGTGCATGCCGTGTGCATGTACGCCGTGTGCATGCATGCCGTGTGCATGTACGCCGTGTGCATGCATGCCGTGTGCATGTACGCCGTGTGCATGCATGCCGTGTGCATGTACGCCGTGTGCATGCATGCCGTGTGCATGTACGCCGTGTGCATGCATGCCGTGTGCATGTACGCCGTGTGCATGCATGCCGTGTGCATGTACGCCGTGTGCATGTATGCCGTGTACATGTATGCCGTGTGCATGTATGCCGTGTGCATGTATGCTGTGTGCATGTATGCCGTGTGCATGTATGCCGTGTGCATGTATGCTGTGTGCATGTATGCTGTGTGCATGCATGCCGTGTACATGTATGCCGTGTGCATGTATGCTGTGTGCATGTGGGGAGGTTAGAAGTGGCCATCAAGTCTTCTTCGCCAGAGCCATCTCTCCAGCGCCTAGAGACTTTTGATTTCCGGTTAAGTCCAGGCTGAGGAAAATAAGACAGCCATTCTGTGTCAAAGAGCCCCATTCAAAATATTGGGGGGCAGGGAAGGATTTGTCATTAGATAAGGGCAGCACTAGGAGGTTATAAGGGTGCTGCCAGGGTTGTCAGAAGTTTAGAGCATTTGTTGCTCTTGCAGAAGACCTGAGTTTGGTTCCCAGTACCATGTTACAAGACTTCCAACCTCCTGTGACTCTAGCTCCAGAGAATGTACATCTCTTCTGGCCTGCAAGTGTACTCTCTCACACATTCGACGTGAGCACACTCATGTGCACGTGCGCACACACAAACACATGCACACACACAGTTTTTAAAAGTTTGTTTGAGCTGGGTGTAGAAATACAACTTCTAGATGTAGCCTTATGATTCTTAAACTGAGATCAAGCAGAGGGAGAAAGACACACCTTTAATCCCAGAACCTGGGAGGTAGAGGCAAGATCTCTATAAATTAGCCAGTCAGAGCTACACAGTGAGACCCCTGTCTCACAAAACAAGTTGCTGGGCTGTGGTGGTGCCCGCCTTTAATCCCAGCACTCAGGAGGCAGAGGCAGGCAGATCTCTGTGAGCTCAAGGCCAACCTGGTCTCCAGAGTGAGTTCCAGGACAGACAAGGCTACACAGAGAAACCCTGTCTCAAAACATCAAAACCAAACAAACAAAATCTTTTTTGAAAAGGCATGTTGCAGTAAGAATGAGACAGGATTTAGGGTATGCTGCAAGATACAACAGACCGGCCTGGACTAGAGAAACAAAACAATGCCTTATGTAGCCATACCACTTGAATAAACACTTGCTGCAAGTGGTGGGGTCCTACTGTGCTGTTTAGAAGTCTGCTAGCACTTTCTTCACTATTCCTTTAGCCATAGATTCCCAGGCTTCTGCCCTGTCCATGCCCACGTGAGGGTCCTTGTGCACCTTTCTTCATAGTTCTTGAGGTTACATGCCTATTTTACTGTCCTGTTTCCATGTAAGTAAAGGAAGAAGTTATACAGATTTTGGGAGGCCTACATGTTTATTTACTTCTGTGTACCCGTGTACACTTGTTTGTATGTGAGGATTCCCTGTCCAATCTGCACCTGCCACCAAACTTACTCTTACAAACCATTCTGTTCTGTGGTAAATAATTCAAGGGATAATTATTTCTTCCTATGGGGCCATCTTCTAGATCACTCACTATCCTGCCAGTGCATAAGAAGTGCTATACCACCTTAGTCGGCCCAATTTGGGCTAATTGTAAACTTTTAGATCTCCAAGATTATGGGGAGACTTAAAAGCATTGGGCTAGGCATTAGGCCCTGCAGTATTCCCAGGGTCCATATGCCATCCCAATGGCTCTAACATGTCTTCAGTTGGTAAAAATGAACTTGCACCTGAGAGAATGAAATCTTAGGAAGCTGAAGATGCAGAGTCTAGGTGTCTTCATCCTGGAATCTCTTTTTCAATGACCAGTATAAGACAATATAGGGAGGGCTAGAAATATGGCTCAGCAGATAAGAACATGTATGGCTCGTGTGGAGGACCCAAATTTGGTTCCCAACCCTGTATTAAGAGTCTTATGGGGTTGGAGAGATGGCTCAGCGGTTAAGAGCACTGACTGTTCTTCCAGAGGACCTGAGTTCAATTCCCAGCAACCACATGGTGGCTCACAACCACCCTGAATGAGATCTGGTGCCCTCTGCTGGCATGCAGGCAGAAGACTGTATATATAATAAATAAATAAAATCTTTTTTTTTTTTTAAAAAGAGTCTTACAACCTCCTGTAATTTCAGATCGAGGGGATCCAATGCCTCTGACCTCTGGGGATACCTACACTCATGTTCACACACATACACACACACACACACACACACACACACGTATATAAAATAAAGTAAAATCTTTACAAATTAAAAATAAAGACAATGCAAAGAAATGTTGAATTAATTTGCTCTGCAGCCAGCATGTTTTTCACAGGGTCTTGGAAACATAACCATGGCCTGTGAGCTCACCTGAAAGAAACTATGTATAATACTGTCTCTGTTACGCAGCTGATGAAATACTGTATTTAGGCTGCAGGCATATCATTAACCCTGACTGTCCACTAGCCAGGGCCAATGCAGTTGCACGGTCAGATCCTAACTGAGGTTACCAAATAGGAGGTGTAGGAGGACTAGATGTTATTGAGGTCAAGTAGATGGGAAGAATCAAAAAACACCAACAGCTCTGCTCATCATGATGAATGAAGGAGGTGACTTAAGGCACAAATAAAATCACATCCTTTTTCATGGGAGATTGACAAAGACCGCTATAAAATATATGCATATTTACCCGCAGGGACTTCCTATACTAGGTCGCACTATATTGGAAAGTCAGCCTCACATATCAAGGAAAAGCTTCAAAAGTGACATTGGGTTCCCCAAACCCTTAAATACAACTTCTTAGATGTAGCCCTAAATTCTTAAACTGAGATCAAGCAGAGGGAGAAAGACACACACGACCTGAGATGAAAAGTGATACCAAGACTAAATAAGAGGCCAACCAAGTCTTAGGCTGCCTTTTGAGAACCATGACACCTCTAAGCCAGACAGGAAATTCTTGTCTGAAGACAGCTGGCAGCCTAGACATTGGAGCAAGGCATACCTGAGGACAGCAGTCACCAAAGATACCCTGAACCACGTACAGGTGAAGGGGGACATTGTAAACAGGACTGCCCTTGACTTGAAAGAGATAGAATCAACTCTAGGAAGGTAATTGTTAGCCACATGGGACTGAAGCGGCCAAATGCCCCCTGCATCGCGGCTTCCACATTGGAGGGGAGGAACCGTAGGCAGTTTTGGGCACGCTCAGTAGGCTTACTAATTCCTTAAGGATTCAAAGGCCACCTAGGCCAGTTTTATTCTCTCACTCTGCACCTTTCTTTATTGAGGGGGCTGAGGGGAGCTCCAGCAGGATTTGACCGCCTGTTTACTGTGTCTGGGGTGATCACATAGTTACCCATCAATTCTTGAATGGTCTATTCCCTTACTGAGGCAAGACTTCTTGCAGATTGGGCTATTAGCTTTATCCTATCTGTCAGGGATCCCATTAACTACACTTAGTTAATTTACTAAGTGTTAACACTGCTGAACTGGGATACCATCCCCTATAATGACAGATGAGTTATTTATTCCAAGAAATATGGGAGGCTGAACCCCAAGATATGCACGTCACTCCAATTCTTAGAAATGCGTGGCCTACAGACACATCTGAAGGAAGGAGTCCCTTTGCTACAATAACCCAGGACTCTCTACAGCCAAGGATAGGGTATCAGCTATTAACTGAAAATTTCTCAAACATGTTTTAATCGGGTCTTGTCAATGTCCATGTAATATTCTCATCCTTTGTCTGTGAAAAACAAAACAAAACAAACAAACAAACAAACAAAAACTCAGTGGAGATTATCACTTAGCCACTTAGTGTAAGACTTGTTGCATTAATTTTTTCCTGGAGAGTCACAATTGCCTATTCACAGGCTAAAGGCGTGGCTCAGTGGTTAAGAGCATTGGTTGCTCTTCCAGAGAAACTTGGTTCAATTCCTAGTTCACAGCCATCTGTAACTCCAGTTTCAGGGCATCTTATACCCTCTTCTGGTCTCGCAGGCACCAGGCATGTATGTGGTGTGGTGCAGACACACATATACAGACATTCATACACATAAAATAAAAATTAAAAGTAAACAAACAAAGAAAATATCTATTTGCCCCAAATGGGCACAAAACCAGACCAAAGTACTATCATACCTAAGTCTAGCTTGGTGAGACCAACAGGTCCCAAAGAAAGCAGGGACAAATCTCATTGGGTACCTGTGGCTCCTCCCAGCGGTTCCCACCCCGCCCCCACCCTGAACCTCTCCAGCCCCGGGGCTCCCCTCCCCCAGCTTCTCTTCGAACATTTTGGTCACATGGTCTCTCTGGTTCTCCTCCCTCTCCTGGTCCCGGTGCCCTTTCCTCACGCCTCCTCTCTTCCACTCTTGCTCTCCACCTCACTTCTCCTTTCATGGCCTGGTGCAGTCTGGACCCTTCCAGATGCCTCTGGCTGAACTCTCATTCCTATCTACAATAAAAACCTCCTCCTCAACCATAACCAGGAGTGGTCATGTCCTCATTTTCATTCAGAGACCAATGAGTTTATTGGATTTGCTATGGGTCCTAGGTGAGGGATTACCTACAGGAGTGTGGGTAATCAGCTGCGTCACCACAAAGTCCCACCCATGATGAATGGTGACCGTATAGAAGTTGCATCACAGACTCCTGCTTTTAATCGATCTTCTATTTTCTTTCTCTTCATTATGATTTATTTTTATTTTATGTGCATTGATGTTTTGCCTGCAAATGGTGTGGGGGAGGTAAGGAGGGTGCCAGATCCCTTGGAGCTGGAGTTACAGACAGTTGTGAGCTGCCCCATGGGTTCTGGGAATTGAACCCGGGGCCCTCTGAGAGAGCAGCCAGTGCTCTTAACCACTGAGCCATCTCTCCAGGCCCCAACCTTCCATTTTCTGTATAGTCTGGCAGCTCTTGGGAGCACTTGGGGAGAAGGCAGAAAGAACAACAGCTAAGATCTTAGTCAAGGGTGTCCAGACTCTTCTTATGTCCATCTATCTACTAGAGGGAACTAATAGTTCCTATTACCATTACCACAGAACTGGCTACCACCGTGTATTACACTGCTGCGTTGTCATGGCTACCAGGGCAAAGTCCAAGATGGTTTCTTGTTATGACCTGTGAGCAGTAAATGAAGCCACATCCCCCTGTAGCTCCCAATCACTATATATTTTCACTCAAATGCTCTTTGACACCATACAGTTTATTGTCTTGGATCTAAAAGATGCTTTCTTTTTGTATCCGCTCAGCTCAAACTCACTCTATTTGCTTTTGAGTGGGCTGACCCTCAGA